TCATCGCCTAAGCAACAACGCAACTACTGCACAAAAGGGTGGCGGTCAGTTATCCGTGCGACATCGGTGCCTCAAGAGAAGAAGGCTTCATCTGATCGTCCCTAAAATCGTTTCTCAGGTTTGGAACACAGATATATCAGCCTTCGCGGAGGTTAAATCCCATCTTCGATAACCATGCTACCTGCTACAGGAACTAACACCATAGTGGCGGTCTGTGAAGAAATGTTCATGTCTGTAACAATTGTTCTTCTTCTCTAGCAATTTGATAATTCTGCGAGGTAAGGTCTCCGTTCTGCAGGTTGAAATTAGAAATGTTGTGTCATGCGCCCTTGATTGCGGCGTTTCTTTTGTCGTGTAAATTATAATATATGACTAGTTCAATGGGACTGGGACTAGGAAGGATGAGGTGATCCACCGGAAATGCTGAATCCGTTGATCGGATCCCTCAGTGAGAGTCGCTCGGAACTTTTTCACTAGCATAAATCTTGATTGAATGGGCAATTCGGAACAATATTGCTTAGTGATAGAACTTCCCTCCTTTTATGGCAGCCTGCTGAAACAAGATGCACTTCATTATTTCGCTATCACCTTCGAGTTATCTATTTAGATTTGGAAAATATTTCAATATGCCTTCATGACAGCCCTTTAGTAAATAATAGACGAGTGATGTAATCAGCGATAAATTCTCATTAAAGTTGAAATGGTTTACTCTTGACCGATAAAAACTACTAAGTGAGTTACAAATTGCAATGTTATCTTTTTGATGACCGCTTTCGAATCTCGTCATGGAGAGCGACTTGGTGTGTAGTAGTCAGCTATTCACTGGATGCAGATTTTAACGACCTAAGCCCTGAAAATTGATGGAAAAATGTCAAAAGGTGTGGAAAATCACCTTACAATCGAGAAATTAGTGAGCTATTAACTTATTAGCCAGTCTGACTTGCTGAAAATCGGTTGAAAAATGTTGAAAGGTATAAATACACGCCTAACAACCAGGAAATGACTAACTGAAAATCTGGCATGGCCCATTATTATAAGTGTAAAAAACCTTCCCTAGATGCAGGTTGTATTGAATAGAACTTTCTGGTTCGAGTTATAAAACCTTCAGGAAATCAGAGAACTTGAATCAGAGAATCAGAGACCTAGCTTGAATAGGGTCACGAAACTGTTGTTACCTACTTTGTACCTGCTCTTCAAGAAGGAAGTCTGGCGAAATCATTGCCCTAACTATGCTATCAGTGCATAGTTCCGCTAACAGATACAAGTCAGGATGTTATTTTTGCTCTAATCCCGAGGTTGTCTCTAGGTGAACGATTGAAAGAATCACATCGAAACTTACGCCTAGGAAAGGGATATTTAAACTGAAAGGCATTCCTGTGCCCATGGGAATTTGCAGGTTCAGTCCTCCTAGTTGAGGTGCTTTAGGTACCTGTTAAACAGTTTCACAATTAAATAGATCATTTAATCCAAAAGTTGTGCTTCCCATCCTGCAAAGAATTCACAAACCTGTGTGCAAACCACAGCAGTAGCGAAGATGGCCAAAACAACTAGTATAGTCTTTAACATTTCCGCTGACTATCTGCAAGTAAAACTTAAATATGCCTTATACAGCTTGTTCGGGATGGAAAGCGATGAAACTTGATTCGTGAGCTGAACGGATAGGAGCCGAATATTAATGATGAGCTTTTATATCGGAGCGGTCCATTCAGTCGCATACCTACTGCACCTATGAATCTTTTAGATGGCATGATAAATAAATGGCATAACAGATGAGCAATCACTTTTAAATACCAAGGGACGATAATGGCCATAAAATTTTGACATTTGCATAACAAGAATAAAACGGCCACAAGCTGAATACAAATTGGAATAACAGCTCACAAGGTTGAAAGCCATTTTATTTCTTTGTTTCTATTTGAAGACAGTGGGATCATATAACTTTCTAGCTATATATATGCAGCAGCAAGTCATGTAAAACACTTTTGACTTCATCCGACATCGTATTGCGAATTTTCTTCGCAAAAGCATGGAAGTATACTTTTAATGGCATTCATCAGTTTCGGTGGCTCGACACTGGGCCAATAAGGATCGGACGTGCCAGTAGGTAGTAAAGAAAAAGTTTCTCAAATAAATACAAAAATGTTTCAGAGCTTTTCTGCTTTTTTTCCACGCATTGAAGAACAGAATATGATGGTCTAGAACTTCGGCATGACAATAACTGCACTCAATCAAACCTTTTGATCGGTGTTCATGTGATATAGATCGTTATAGAACTGTCTACCAGGTGTCTACAAGGTTCTTCGCAAAAGAAAAGGCTNGTGGCTCGACACGGGGCCCATAAGGACGGATGTGCCAGTAGGTAGTAAAGAAAAAGTTTCTCAAATAAATACAAAATTGTTTCAGAGCTTTGCTGCTTTTTTTCCACGCATTGAAGAACAGAATATGATGGTCTAGAACTTCGGCATAACAATAGCTTCGCTCAATCAAACCTTTTGATCTGTGTTCATGTGATATAGATCGTTATAGAACTGTCTACCAGGTGTCTACAAGGTTCTTCGCAAAAGAAAAGGCTTCTGGCTCTGTGAATAAGCTTGGATGACGATTTCGCGACAAAATAAGCTCAGGCAGCTACATCCCGTTTATTTTATTCTGCTTCATGAGTTTCGAATTCAAGTTTTTAGGCTATTCCTCTAGAGCCACTCCTGATCACAGGAGGGAACCTCGGAAAAAGCATTGTCTCCTCTTTAAGACTTTTCCAGGTTCGCATGAAACACTTACAGCTCTCTCCTACTTAGCTCGATGTTGGTGCGTAGGCAACGAATAATACCAGAATAAAAATATCATCCTTACTTGTATCCGTTAGCGGAACTATGCACTGATAGCATAATGAGGTGATTGCGTCAGACTTCCTTCTTGAAGAGCAAGTAGGTTTGAGCTGAGCAGAGAAATATCTTCACAATAACACACCTTCGATTCAAGATGTCAAGCTTTCGTACGTACGTACGAATCGATTGCCGAATACTCTTCTTCTTCAATCTCGAAAACGGCATGCAGCTAACGATGTCATACAGTGTCTTTTTCAGCCCGATGACGTCGTCCTCGGTTTTCCTGGCACGCGTCATAAGCCTTCAACATTCTTCACTGATGCGAATACTCGTGTTTCGCGGAAAAAACTGGTATCGAAAAACTTGAGCTGGAGTGTTCACGTGGACGAGACAATAACGTGCTCAGGTTGGCCTATCTCCTGTATAGAAACACTTAGTGTACCGATGTTGACATGTGGATCAGACTCCTCAAATCATATGTTCTCCCCATTGTCAAATACTGCAGCCTAATTTGGAGACCACACCTAGTCAAAGACATTCAAAAGCTTGAAAGAGTTCAGAAATTTTTTCTAGGATCTTGTACTACAAAGCATTCCCCAGTACGAGTTATCCTGACACATTGCCATCCTGTAGAACTCGTCTCCGGAAGTTAAATTCAAAAGGTCTTTTCCACAGAAGGATTACAAAAGATTTGGTTCTTGCATTCAAGATGCTCAAGGGAGAACTGCGACTTCGGCCATCGATGTTTTGGTTATTTCGTCCCTCAAATGGACGGCCAGACGGCTTCCAATTTTTAGACCATAAACTGGGCAAAATCCAGCTAGCTACAACAGCTTTTTCTACATACCACTCGCTAACCGCTATTGCCCTCATCTATTTTAGCGTGTCATAACTCTCTCAGTTCGAAGCAGCATTAAACAAAGTCAGTTTGTTGGACGCTATACTGTTTCTCCTCTCAGTTGCCCAAGTAGTGTAGTTTCCCTACCACTTCTCCCTTCTATAGAATGATACTCATTGGGCTCATTTCACAACAACAAGCATCACCAAAACCCTAAACATGATACGGCAAAGAGGTCTCTGGTCTGATTGACGTGAGATGGTTTTTCGTGTTTCCTACGCTGGTTTTGCCAAGTTTATCGGTTCCACGTGAGTGGTCGGAATACCCTGTCTCGAAGTGCCGGTGAATTCCCATGGTCCCAAGTGGCGCTAAGGGCACCATGGCCGACCGGTGCTGGCTTACTCTACAGCATTTACCCCAGGGGGAGGTAAACGCTGTAGAATAAGCCAGAGCCCCTGGCCTCTCGAATCCTAACTTTATCGCTGGAGTTGAGATCTGTCCTCACCGTGCCGATCTAACATTTTTGACTCTGGTTCAGGGAAGAGCGCTTGCCGAGCGACTCTCTGGTCTCTGCTGGTACTCATCAATCTCTATTTTCTGTTGACTAATCCCGAGTTTTACGACGAAGCATTATTCTAATATTATATTCATCAAATCTTGTTTGGTTTGTTTTTTTTCTTTGAGGCAGTATGATCGTTTCCGCGAACAGCTTATGTCTCAAGACAGCGCGTCATTGAACGCATGAATAAATAGAAAAATAAGTTAGCAAATAAATAAAAGATTACCTTCATCGTCGTTCTTCTTTTGAGCAGCTTGTTGAAGCATAAGATGTCGTGAGGCTCTTTCGAGTGGTCGGATACATCGCTAACTTATTATAGGCTTACTCACGTTTGAAGGGAAGAGTACCATCCTATTGTATCCTCTTGGATGTGCTTCGCAGACATCAAAACATCTGTATACGTTTCCATTTTTGCAAATACCAATCGGGTCTGACAGCTTACTCCGGACTTCATTCCTTACTTTAACCAAGTGGTTTGAAAGTTAGGGTAGCGGGCGGGAGAGCATTGGCCTCATCCAGAGCTTGAGTGGAGAGGAGGGGTAGCAGGCCTGACTTGTACTTTGAAACGGTTCTAGGCGAAAGAATATGGTTTCACGCTAGGTCTCGGTAGACGAGGAGCGGCCGGATGGGGCGAGATGATTACCTCGTCCAAAAGCTAGGATGGGGTATTAGTTGAAGATTCGCTTGACTCATCCATCTCGGTACACCTTCCCTTCCGAAGCTCAGATCAAAAAAAAATTGTATGTTCTCGGTTGAGAAACGTTAATGAGCATAATTATGGGCTAACTTCCTTATGTTGAAATTATGTTGAAATGAAGAGGAGGTCCCCTAACTACATCATCACCTCCGATTTTTGTAAGACTACATAGCACGACGCCGATAGAGATCGATATCACAGTTCTGAAGTAACCATTTCACTCCACATCACTCACTTAACTCCGCAGTACTCACTCTACTCCATCAACCTACCCTTCAAGTAATTGCCTTATGTATGAGAAGGAAGTTTAGAATAGCAAGATTCTTCATATTACTACTTCTATCGCAAGCGTAAGTTTTGCGGACGAACAGACAGACATACCGCAATGACATACTGACACACCGGCACACCGATTAACTTGCAAACCGACTCACCAAGTTGTTTTACGAATGGAAGTGGTACTCCAGAGCACTAAACATCATATAATATTAACCAGTCGGTTCTCCCGGCTGAGGCCGGACTTCCCCCTTCTTTGACAAAGTTGTAGTGATGCGCTAAATTTCCTGTCCTCAAAGTTTGACACAGGGCTAATAGCGCAGTGGAATTGGTATTCAATGAAACCCGGTGCTCAAGCCTTTTATTGGAAGTCATTTTCTACTCTCTTTCTCACAGAGAAATATCATCAAAAATCGAACTGCTGGACAACCAAAGAGGGTGCTGTGGAGATGTCTTGAGTGACGATAGCACCATTATCAGATGCTTTCTTCAATGAACCGTTTCCTTTACGAAGATATCATTGGTTGAGAATTCCAGATTACTGGCGGTCGATTAACTTCTGTAGCAAACGATAGCGAGCAAAGATGATCCGTCATTGGAACACAAAGCTTGCTGGGTAGCGGTCGTAATCTAGCGGCAAGAAATGAAGAAAATCGTCATCTGCTCATCGCATTGCCGCTAATGGGTCCTTATCACTGCATTCACCACTCACTTTTGTCGCCCTGCTCCACCATCCCCCTTATCGGATGAAACATACTGAACAGCGTAAGCTACATCGTGAATACCGAAGGGTCAGAATTTTGATGGGTAAGTGGCTCTTGCTCTCTTAGGTCCTTTATCTTCTCTTATCCAATATGATCAGTTCCTGTTACCAAGCACCCACAATCCCGTCATATTCTACATTACTTATTATAATAAGATTTTTTAAGAGATTCCACTGTTAATGCAAAAGTTGTAATCCTACAAAGTTTGAACGCTCTAGGTCAACTGCAACAGGAGTTACAATATTAATTTGCGGTCGAAAATTCCTACCGCGCACGCCGCTCCCCCTGTGCGTAGAGTACAGGCCTGCCACCCACTATAAGTGTTCCCATCCAGCCTCCTGTACTCCTACCAAGTTTGAACGCTCTAGATCTACTGGAGTTATGAATTTTCGGTCAGACACACACATCGACCCATAAACACACACAAGCAGCGACAAATCAATAGACACACTTAGCGAATTACATATAATAGGATAACTTGTTATTAGCGCCTAATTTTCCGATGGTAATTCAATCAAGTTACGGAAGTTTCTAGATGGAACTCTTTATTTCTATAAGCTTGTGAACTCAACAAGTATCGCACGAAGTCCATCGATAGCAATATTCG